TCAGGTGCGCTGGCCCCCGGGACCCGGCATGGACTGGGCCTCCCCCTGAGCGGCAGGGAGACTCAAGGGCAGCGCGGGACTCAGCAACCATGTGGGGCTCCCCAGTTTCCCGAGGCTCCCCAGCCCTGCGGGTCTCCGCCTCCCCAGCGATGAGGGGCTCCCAACCATGCAGGACTCCCCAGATCTTCCCGGCTTCTTCGGTGTGCGGTGTTCCCGAGTTCTGCCCGGGTCCCCGGTCGCGGCGGGGCTCCACAGGCACGCGGGACTCCCTTAAGTCTGCCCGGCTCCTCGGCTATGCGGAGCCACCCCTTCCTTGGCTTTGCTGTCCTGAAGGGCCCTCCCGGTCTCTGGAAGCTGGGTTTCCTCTCCCAGTCTTTCCCATGTGGATCCTGTAAAAAGTGCAGGCCGCTCCCGATGGGAAGCAGAGGAACTCCCTCGGAGCTCGGCAGTACCTTCTCCAGGGTTCCTCCTCAGGTCCCCTCATGTACATGCTTCCTGTAGAGTCTTGCAGCCCCGAAAGTTAGGCAGTGTTGCGGTTGTGGAAGTAACACCCAGGCAGCCTCTTCCTACCCCCTTCTGAACTTCCTTTACCAGGAAAACCTTGACTGTGGACTTGGCAGGGAACTCCCCTGAGTGTCTTGAGAGTTGTCCTGTTATGCGATTGGTGAGACCCCATGCCACCATCCAGGTTAGTTAGATTCTGGTGGCCCCTTACACCAAGCAATAGAGCTGTCGTAGAGGGCATTGCTTAACCCAGTGGTAAATTGTCATGCGGCCTTATACTAATTAACTGAAGTTGAATCATCAACATATTCATGCAGTTCTAAAATACTTTACAGAGTTCTGACTTCCTGGCAGTATTGTGTTTGTTTTGAGACATGGTTTCTCTGTGTAACAGCCCTAGCTGCCCTGCCTTGTAGACCAGGCTGGCCTCGAACTCACGGAGATCCTCCAGCCTCTACCTCCCAAGTGCAGGGATTAATGCCGGGTGCCACCCCGCCTGGTTTTCCTGACAGTATTTTTTAAACCAGCCTTTCATTTATCGCTACTGACTCCTCTACCGAAACGTGTTTTTTAAGGAGGAACTTCTTCAAAAGATGCAAGACTTGACGCTGCTGGCAAAGAGTGCTGTGATGATTTTAACATTTATAAATCTTGTGTCAGGAAGAATAGTAGTTTTTAACCCCTTAGCAGGAGCTAGTGTGATTATTGCAGTTTTGATAGGATGATGACCCCGCATTAACATAGATACTAACCTGACCGCTGAATCAGTAACTGTGATAGGCCTGTTAACACCGTTCTATGGAGGGTTTTTTTTTTTTTCCAGATCATGCTGAGTTATTGAGACTCTGGGGAAGAGTGGATGGAGGCTTAAGATAGGGAGTACATAGAAAAGACTTGACCTCCGTTGAATGTGTAAGGTGTTAAGATTCAAAAGATTGGTTTTCAGAAAATGACTATGTGAGAGAGGGCGTGATAAAAGTCAATTTGTGGTCTGGGCTTGGTGTGGCTGGCCTTTAATCCCAGCAGAAGCAGGTGGATCTCTGTGAGTTCAGTCCAGCCTGGTCTACATAGTGAGTTTGAGGACAGTTTTGGGGGCTATGTTGAGAGACATTATCTCCAAAAAAAAAGGGGGTGTGTTCATTTGTTATGAGCCATGGAAGAATTTGCTGTTTTCTCTAGCAGTGTAAGATGGCTAATGAGACAACATTGTAGTAGTATAGAATGTGTCAGGGAAACTGAACAGTTGGAGCTAGAAGATAATAGGTGAGGAAGAAGGAAGTCCAAAGCCAGTCATGTGTGAGAGATGCTTTCTGTCTGAATGTTCCTTTCAGTCACTAGATATTCTGACTAAATAGTAAATCAGATTCTGACCTCCTGGAATCCCAACAATTTAGCATTTGTAGGCATGGTATTTCTTCAGAGGTTGCCAACTGTTAAGATGAAGAAATCGCAAGTTATTAAAATGAAATATAAAAATCTGTGACTGCAGCAGGGTGTGGTGGCAAACACCTGTAATACTAGCATGTGGGAAGGAAGCTGAGGCTGGAAGAAGGAGTGTTCAAAGCCCCCCCAAAAAGTCTGTGCTTGTTCTGTCTGCCTGGCTCGTTTAACCTACTTTATCGAACATTTTCACTCAAGGCACAGTGGCATTTGGAAGAATGTTCTAATGGAATGTTCTAAGGGCTGCAGTATCCTTTCTAGAAAACTACTTTTCACAAATAATTTTAAAGCTGGGGTATTTCATTTAGGAGGAATAAGAGCTCTGTTTATGAGAAGAAGAGAATGTCTTAAAGTAGTTTCGAAGTTGGTTGTGTTAAGTTAAAAAAAATTTATGTGCTCTAACCCCTGCCTATCTTTCCTTGCATCCTGGGGTAGGGGATGGGGGTGGGAGGGACTGTTGGGAAATATTGCCAATTCTGTCTGAAAAGACACAGTAAGATACTAGGTATACAAGTGTCATTCTTTCTTTAAAATACTAAATATCACATGTCTGAAACATAAAAGGGTTTCCTCACATGTCATGTTTTTAATGGACTGGAGAGAAATTAGAAACTTGTAGACTTTCTTTCTCTCAAGGGGAGGCAGCCACTTTCTGATATTTGTATACACTCAACAGGATATGTTTGAAGAGAATTAATGCCTGTGTTAACAACAACTCCTGGATGGGGCTGAGTTTGATAAGTAGATAGTGTGGTAAGGAGGTATTACGAAACAGAGGTTACTAGTGTTCAATGAATGATGACAGTGGACAAGAGTTTTCACAAGAGCAGCAGTTGAACAATAAAGCACTAAATTTCCTCTGCCATTAAAGAAGTGGGAGGAGTGTCAACCTTTATTGAAGATGTAAAGGGTGATTTATAGACTGAGAACAATCTACAGCATTAGAATTGGAAAGAACCTTCAGGGTGTCTTTTTGTCTTTGTAATTCAATCAGTTTATCTCTGCAAGATTTTCTTAAAACCAATGTCTGTGTTTATGGGTTCTTTTGTTTGTTCTGAGTCTGTGACCTTTTTAGGTCAGAGTGGCCTTGAACTTGTTACCCTCCTGCATCCACTTCCCAGGTGCTGGGAATTCCCAGAGATTGACAAGATCTTGGGGGGGGGGGGACACCTTACAGAGGGTTTGCAGCAAATTTTCACAATAACATTGTTTAGTAATATTAATCACCAGGGGTTAGTTTTTGTGGATTAAACAGTTGATTAATAAGCAAATGACACAGTTGTGTACGTTATCAGCACTTTCAAAAAGACGTGTCTTTATAAAAGTTTAGATTTGGACTCAGATTTTGATTTTGTTTTGTTTTTCCAGACAGGGTTTCTCTGTGTAGCCCTGGCTGTCCTGGAACTCTCTCTGTAGCCCAGGCTGGCCTCGAATTCACAGAGATCCTACTGCCTCTGCCTCCTAAGTGCTGGGATTAAAGGCTACATCTGGCAGATTTTGCTTTTTAAAACAACAACAATATGAACCAGTATGAAAGAAGAGAAAGGATATTGTCATTGGGACAGCTTTAAACCTAATTTTCTTCCATCTGAGAGTAGTTTTGATGAGAAATGTAAGGGAGGTAATGACCAGAATCAGTAGAGTTCGGTCACAAGGAAGCGGTAGGGCATGCGTTGTTCTATTCAGTAGAAGTCAAGCATGGTAGAGACAAGAGTGATTTCAGAAAGAGGCCCACAAGTAACTAAGGAAGGGTGCTTTACTCCTAGCTCTTGTTTCCACTCAAGACAAACGGTGATTGGGGATTGGTTGTGAGATAGTAGGACTAGTAGACCTAATATAACCATCATACATCCTGGGTTTGGCAGGGTAAGACAACTTAGGCTCTAGGCAGAAATACTGTTGTAACTAAAGAGAACTTGTGAGATAAGTTTTTTTGTTTCAAAGGCATTTTGCCCTAAAGGGAAGAACATTTGGTTTTTATTAGCTGGGTCTGAGAGATTCCAGTCATTTGTGGGACTCAAGAATTTTTAGGCTGGGCTCTGGTGATGCACACATTTAATCCCAGCACTTTGTGAGTTTGAGGCCATCCTGGTCTACAGAGCCAGTTCCAGGACAGCCAGGGCTACACAGAGAAACCCTGTTTTGAAAAACAAAACAAAGAACAACAACAACAAAAGAATTCTTAGGAAATTATAAACCATTTGGTCCTGAGATAGTATTTACAATGGTGTTAGGGAGGACAGGCTTCCAGTTTGTTAGGTGGGCCCAGGTACACTAGAAGCTGGTCATCCTCTCAGCAAGAGAGCTAATTGTCTGATTCGGTTATTGAAAGAAGCAGTGTTTATGTAGAATGGGCAATTGAAAGGGATGGGCAGAGGCAGTGTTTGCATGCAGAGTGGTTGGGCCTTACTTGATTAAAAAAATGGGTTTTGGCCACAAATCACTTGCCTCCTGAGTAGTTTCCAAGAAAGCTTCTATAATTTGTGATTTGTGAATAGTAAGATAGCCATTTGCTCTTGACCCGCTTAATCTCAGAAATTTTATTTTATATTTGTTATCTTTAATACTATTTTCAAAACCCTTAATGAAGTTGAGGCTGTTTTTCTTTTTTAAAAGATTGTTACTCTTGGTTGTAGAAATGGTACATATTCACTGTACGATCTCAAAGCATTGGAACAGTTGTTTTGTGTTACAGTCAACTGATAGAAAAACACCAAAATTGTATCTATGTAATATTTTGATAAATGTATACATGTGTACATTGTGTAACGTCTAAGTCATATTCAACATGTCTAGCTCTTGATTCATTGATCATTTCTTTAAGGTGAACATTTCAAACAGGCTCAAAGTTGCTATGTAGTCAAAGATGACCTTAAACTTCTGATCCTCCTGTTTCTATCTCC